TTCACAATGAAGTCATAGAAAGAGTAATGCTGCAAGACACATTCAACAAAGTTAGGTTTTCGAATTGCTAGAGAACCATTTTCTGCTACACGTATAGAACCCTTCAAAATTTTTTCAGATCTTTCAGTTCGCTGCTATCCATCTACACTCCTAATTGGGGAGATTACCAAAACTATGAGGACATAGCCTCAACTCTTTGACCCTCGAGAATGACCAACATCTAATTTCTCCTTACAATATCACCCCTGAATCACACATCAAGGTCAAGGGAAAACATGAAATGATCACAAACTGAAAAACGCTCTCGACTCTGACATAAATTCTCCTTTTCAGCTCCCTTGGAAGTGTATAAAGAACGGTACAGAGAATAATTATGCGTATTAGTAGTAAGTGTTAAGAGTTAAAACTGGGATCAGTTAATTACCGGATGATGGAAAGTTGGTTGGGCACGTTTTGGGTTCAGTCTTAAGCAGCCAAACTGTCCATAGAACGTAGAGAACAGTATGTAGAATATGCATACTGATCTTAGGGTGTTAAGGGTTTACACATCAGTGTAATTTATATGGCTGTAGAAATGACTTTCCGAAGTTATTCCCCTTAAAAAGATCCTCTCCTGCAGAACTGAATATTTATTTATTATCACTCCACAGATGTTACTTACATGAGGAATAATAAGATCCTCCTTAATGTACATTAAGTTTTCAGTAGTCATAGCCCTGTAAAAATGAAAAACATTTAACTTGAAGCCCTGAAGAACTGCAGTTTTTAAAAGAGTTCACCCTTCAGTAACTACAAAAAACGGAAAAGAACACAGTGTTTGCCCAGTAATAGGCTGTGAGTCCTAAATATGACAATCCATGCTTGAGACCCTACACTTGTACTTGGCAAGTTTCATAAACTTACCTAAACTCAGTAAAATCTTTGCGCAATTGTTCTACACATTTTTGAAGGAACTGAGAGATTGTGTTGCCTTTCTTCATCTGAAGAGGAAACATAGAGAGTGTTAATTTTTTTTTTCCAAATACACATTTCCATTGGAAATTCAGTTCATCTGTACCTCACCTTGATTGAAAGATGTTTATTGTCTAGTCAC